ACATCAGCATGGCAGGATGAGGAGCCAGGAGACAGACAGCCTATGACAGACCTCCTGTGTCTGCATCCAGGGTCAAGGGCTTTCTGTGGAAAACCACTACCCATTCTCCTCCCTGCGGTGGAGCCTCGCTGCCAGGCATACGGTAGAAGAGACAAAAAACAGTGGTTTTCCTCTGAGGTGGTCATTTCAGGCCTGCTTTCCATAGATGGCAAAGTGTTAGAGCTCTGGAAGGATCTTGGGGCCTTTTTTGCTTCTCACACAGCCTCTCCATAGGGATTTGTAGGTGCCTCTGATATAGGATCCTCTGATCTCACTGGGGTAGTCAGGCTTCTATTTTCTGTTTCCCTTTCAGGCTATGAACTATTTCTGCATTCTGAGGGTCCAGGGTTCTTTTCCATCCTTAGGTTTCTCCAGAGAATCTATCTGCTTTCACTCAACTGACACCTCTTGGCACCTGGCCAGGGCTGGAACAGGAATCCAGTTATAACAATCTGTGGTCAGCACTTTTGAGACACTCCCCACACACCCCAGGCATTCACTTTCATCCTCCTATTCTGTTTATCCTGGTCTTGTTGTTGCACAACCCCATACCAGCCCGGCCCCTTAGGGAGATGTTTGCATAGCCTTTTCTCTCTATATGGCTTCAGAGTCCATGTGTCTGGATTTTGATTCTGGTCTATGTTCTATCTCAGATTCTCTCATGGCTGTGAAAATGCAAAATTGTAAACTGCTTTCACTGTAAGTCTGGCTTGTTACTGACATTCACAACTTTACAGCTGGGGGCCAATTAGAGGTGTCCCTGAAGAATTTCAGTGTATGTGGCTTCAATCTGCACAAAGCTAGAGGCATCATCCTCCCAATGGCTATTGTACCATATTCCTGTCCTAGGAATGGCCTTTGTACCCAGCCTTTCCACAGTGCAAAATAAACCCCTGCTTCGCTTTTTATTTGAAGGTAGATGTTTCTGGCCCTAAAATACTAAGTCAGATTCCCTGATGCACATGAGGTAGCAGATGAAATGCCTTATTTCATCTGCACATCTAAGTGTGACTTCCTAGTGTACCTGAACTTCCAAGTGAGTCTTACCTGGGGGAATTGCAATGCTTCCTCGAAAGACTCACTGGGCACTTGCACTCAGAAAACCTGGCTAGTGTATGTGTACTTCATGGTGAAATTCCCCAGATCCACATGCTCTCCTAGGTGAGTCTCCATTTTGTACCTGCACTCCAAGACAGTGTTCTTGATGCAGTTATATAACACGATGTCACTCCCTGGTGCAAATTAACTCACAGGTGGGACTTCCTCTTTCACTCAAACTCCCAGGAGAGACCCTGCTGTGGCTGAATCGTCACTTGTGATGTACCTTCATGTTCAGGTTTGTATCCCTGCTGTACCTCTACTGATCCTTCATGATAGAGCTGACCTTGTGGATGAATCACCCTGGTCCATTTGCACATCCTGGTTAGAGTCCCTTGTCCCAGAGCTCTTGCAATAGGTTTTTTTTGAAAGCTGAGCTTCCCAATGAGTTCATATGTGCCACAAGAACTTCTAGATAAGACTCAATGACTCATCTTCACTGACAAATACCACACTTCTGTTCCACCTGCATTTCCAGTTGTGACTTGATAGTGTGATCGCACTTCCAGTTGGTACTCTCTGGTACCACATCTTCCTAGGTCAGAATCTCCAACACATACCTACAGTTCCAGGTCACAGTCCCTTGTAACTTGTACAAAGAGGTTAAAGAATCTGCCTCATCTGTACCTCTGATGTGAAACTTTTTGTTTATATTTATTCCTGGGTGGGACTTCCTCTTCCACATGTATTATCAGGTCAATTTCCAGGTGCAATTGAAATACAAAATGAGATTCTTTGGGTCACCCACACTTTCAGGTGACTCTCCTTGTTGCACCTGCATTCCCAGGCAATTCTCCCTGATAAGCTGGACCTTCCAGATCCAATACTCTGCCTGCCACCTCTGTGCATACATGCTATTTTATTGGGTTTCACTGTGCTTTGAGGTGGGTCTTCTTGGTGAAGCATCACTTCCACTTGAATCTCCCTGTAGAAGCAATACTTTGGATGATCCTGTTGGTCTACCTAGTCTCTAGTTCAACTGTACTTCAAGGTGAGACTCCACAGAGAACCCGCACTTCCAAGTGAGATTTCCTATTGACCTTGAATTGCTAGGTGTTTTTTTTTTTTGGGGGGGGGTTTTGGGTTACTGTGTTAAAATACTCTAAGGTAAGTAACTTCCAGGAGAAAGGCTTTATTTGGCTCACAGCTTGAGGTTGGAGTCCAACGGGACAGAGAAATGGCAGTAGCATGAACTTGAAGTAGAAGAGTGATTACCATATGTGTCCAAGTGGTCACTTGTGATGTACCTTCGCGGTGAGGTTTGTATCCCTGCTGTACCTCTACTGATCCTTCATGAGCAGTGCCCTTTCTCACTCTTACACTGCTAAGGACCCCCTGCCTCGGTAATAGTCTTGCCCACAATTAAAACAAGTCTTCCCACCTCAACTAAGGTAATCAAGACAATTCCCCACAAGCATTTTCAGAGTCATCTCTTCCAGGAGATTCTAGATTTGGTCAAGTTGACACCACTAACCATTATACCAGGTGAGTTTATCTGGTAAAACTACACAGCCAGGTAAGACCTACTGTTGGACCTGCTCTTAAAGTCTTCCCGAAATACCTGCAAATCTGGTGAATCGGTATTTTGCACTTGAAGTCAACAGTTAGAGTCCCTGGTATACTTAACCTTCTACAGGAGACTGTGGTGTATGTACCTTCCCTTCCAGGCAAGTCTCCTTGCTGTAACTTGACTACTAGCTGAGTCTTCCAAGTAAAATAGGACTCCCACGTCACTCTTCCATCTCTCCATGAACTTCCATGGGAATCGCCTCAGTTCACCTTCAGTTCAGATGATATTCTCTGGGGCACCTGCCCTTTCAGGTAAGACTTCCTATTGTGAATTCACTTCCAGGTGAGATATTCCGATGCATGTACACTTCCTGTATGATTCCTGGATGTGTCTGGACTTCAATGAAGAAATCACCGTAGCACCTGTGCTGTGTATCTCTTGTATCTCTGAGCTTTCAGATGAGACATCCTTTGTTCACCCGTTCTCTTAAGTGAGATTCCACAGTGCCCCTGCAATCACATAGGTCACCTTGGTACACTTCCAATTCCAGTTGAGTCTCTCTGGTGCAGCTGAACAACAAAGTGGGGTTGCCAGGTGAATTTAACTCCCATGTGAGTGAGACTCCCTTTTGCACCTGAACTGCCAGGTGAGCCTCAACCTCCCTCTCATTTCCTTCTATGCATTTGAACTATGAGGCGAAATGAAGTCTTGGCAGCTCTCTGGAACTTTTTCAGTGATTGGAGCCCATAGGTTTTTCCTCTAGGTCTTTCTAGCCTTCTATATATCTTTGTATCTCTCTTCACAACTCCTTTTCCTTCTTTCACTCTACTTCTTTCATCTCAGATTGCCTCTGCTGATTCTCTTCCTGGTCTTTTTTGCCCTGGAAGCTTTTGGAAGCTCTAGTTTCAATCTTTTTGCTAGTGTCAGACCTTTGGTTGGTGCTGTTTCTACTGCTTTGACAACAAGCAGCTATATTTGCCATGGAACTTCCTCAAAGTGTATGGAGCATTCAAATCAGTCAGTGCTGATGTGCAGACAATCTGGCTGGCTGACTGGCTGATAGGCAATAGCTGTTAATTAGGTAAGTCCACATTTATGGATTCAACAAACCGATTACAAAACCGCTTGGAAGCATTGCATCTTTTCTGTAAGTCTGCACCTTTTTTTCATTGTTATCTACCTACCCTATGCCACTGGAGACAGTGGACCTGTCTTCTCCGCCCTGGGGCCATCACATCAGAGTCACCTATCTTCCTATCTCAGGGACTCTTCCCATAGGTCTTCTTCTTCATCTCTGCTCCCAACCCCACAGTCACTATATATTCCTTTCCCTATGTCTTTAAAAATACAATGACAAGAGCCATTTGTAATGAGGTGACCTCAAGTTCCTAGAAGTAAGTGGGGCCTTGGTGCATCTCACATGCAGGAAGAGGCAATGGGGGAAATCAATGTACATCAGAACAATACCATATGCCAGGCTATATTCTAATTCAGATTTCTTAGACTTTGTGGTCCCACAAGATTACAAGGTCAGCCTCTCTCAGCCAGAAGGGCTCCCCACTGGGTCTTTCCGATGAGAGCACTCACCAAGTACCCTCTCCATATCCCAGCCTCTTTCTCCCCTCTGAATTCCTGCCTGCCCCTCCAGACCCTCAGTGTACTGCCCGAGCATCTTCCTGAGGAACTCCTCAATACAAAAGAGAGGCTTGTGTAGTTTCCAGCCTTGGGGTCCACCCAGACTATACCACACCCAAACTGGACTCTGGTTTTGTTAGCTGGATAGGAAGTTTCATTCATGTCCTGTCCATCTGGATATTCCCAGCAGTGCATCTGGATATTCCCAGCCATGCACCTGGATATTCCCAGTTTTCCATCTGGATATTCCCAGGTTGGATCATGTATGAATAAAATGGGGTACCTGGCTGAGTATTCCTCATCCCACTGCTACCCTGATCAAGGGATCTATCTGCATGAGGACAGAAGGACAAGGACAAGCCCTGAACAGAGATCATGAGGGCAGGAGACATATCCTGCTGCTGCACAGTGTCAGGCAGGGTGTTTTCCTAAATACTTCCTAAGGGAAGCCTCCCTTGTAGTGGTAAGAAGCAGAGGAAGGGGAGGAAAGATGGCTATTGAACAACCCTCCCAGACAATCTGATGCCATCTTCAGGAGTCCAGCTTGGACTGCTCTCCGAAAAAGATCACAGCCTGGCTTGGTGAGCGTTGATGTTCTCTTTTTGGAAGAAGGGGTTGGGGAGGGTTATGGGACCCTCACCTAAGTATTCAACCACTCCTCCCAACAAGTTGCATGCATTCTTGCCCTAATTTCAGTGTCCTCTGGATCTCTTGACAGGCCTAGAGTATATAGCTGGGGAAGGATGAGAGGAGAGGACTCCACTACACAGACTTGTCGGGGAGTCTTCATGCATACTGGGTGTAGACCTTCAGTGTGGCTGCTTTAAAGTCACTCATGCTCCTGGATGTAACCCCTCAGCCTCTGTTCTGTAAGTGAGACCAATAAACTCCTTGGTTCCCCAGAGTGAACTTTGGTGGAATCACACCTTAGTTTGTCATTGGGACTGTGGGAGGAGGGGTTAGATGTTGTTTATATCACTCCAAGGGGAGGAATCTTGGCAAAAATGGCTCAGGACACAGAGAGGGCACACAACTCAGAACATTCAGTACAACACACATTATTCAACACAGATACAACATATACCTCTCAACATCCATATTACAACCCACAGCATATACCATTAAATATAGACACAGAAAATATTGATACCACACATACATCATACAACAGAGCACACACCATTCTATGCACACATACTGTATACATTACTCAACAAATAGCATTCTCACAACACACAACACAATTGATAACATGTGTGTTCATACACACAATGCATTTCATACACAAATATGACAAATACAACACAGATACATATGATGGACACACAACAAAATCCATTTAACACAGAACACACATATGTAGGCAGAGCTCTTGGTGTGGAGACAGTGGTGGTGGGTAGACCACCTCCAGAGGATGCTTTACCCGAGGAGGCTGCAGATATTAGCTGTTGCCCACGCTCTCTTACATCAATTACAGACAAGCAAGCAGAGTGCAGGATTTCTCCAGACACAACACAATATTATCCCAGGGGAGTTCCTAGAAAGAGAACAGACGGTCTGGCAGAAGGATAAATGTGAAGGAGGAATAAATATGCATTTGGATGTGGATGAGTGGGAAATGGGTAGAAAGATGGATTAATGTGTGGATAGATGGGTGAGTGGGGAGATATGTGGATAGTTTGATGAATGGGTAAGTGAGTGTATGGTTTAAGGAAGGAGTGAGTGTATGGGTAGGCAGGTTGGCTGGGACATGAAAGATAAGTGTTTTGTGAGTAAGGAGATGCTTGATAATGAGTCCATCAAAGGCCTAAACTGGGGCAAACATACATTTGCCCATCATAACACAGTGTGGACAATGAACAGGGACCAGTTTATGAAGCCTGGGTTGTGAAGGCCAGCTGTCAGAGCACACCCTGCTAGAGACAGACAGGAGGAAGTAGAAAGACAGAGTGGATGAAACTCACTTGCTCATTTTCATGCATGTAGTTATGTGTGTGTGTGTGTCAGAGTTTGTATATGATTCTGACTGTGTCTGTATATCAATGTGTTGGAATGGAGGCTGGTTTATTAGCTTGGGGGTGTTTCTATGCCTGTAGGGAAGTTCATTTGTTTGCCTGTGTGGATGTCATTGTGAGAGTGTTTGGCTATATGTCTGTGCATCTGCATGTATCTGTGTATTTTTCCCCACCACATTTCATGTGTAGAACTTCTTGCTTTATTTCCTCCTTAGCCCCAGTTGCCGGCCAGCAGGCAGGGCTCCTGCGGGAAGGCTCCCCATTCACCAAGACTCCTCAGCAGCAGACCTTGCAATCTACACACCCTGCCCCCATTCCCATATGCCCGAAACCCCAGTCACTTCCTGAGGCTTGGAAACCAACCCTCAGCTCTATTTGGACCTACAGAGAGAGAGAGGGGGGGGGGGGAGGGAGGGGGAGAGAGAGAGAGGGAGGGAGAGGGAGGGAGAGCTCTCATTGGACAAAGGGCTGTCATTGAACTAAGAGTAACCTCAGCAGACAGGGAATCTGCCAGCCCTCATTAGACCAAGAGTGGCTTTCTGAGAAGTAGAAGCTGCCACCTCTCATTGGACCAAGAAAGGCTTCCTGAAATGCAGAATCTGTCAGCTCTGACTGGACCAAGAGCCCTGATAAGACCAAGAATGAATCCGTGAGTCACAGAATCAACTAGCTTGGGTTGACCCAAGAGCAGCTCCCTGAGACACAGAATCTGCCTGCTCCAATTAGACCAAGAGCTAAGATTAGACCCAGATGGGCCCCCTGAGACACAGACACAACAAGCACAGAGTGGACCAACAGCAACTCGTCCAGACACAGGCACCTCTTATACCTATTAGAGGAGGAGTTGGGCCGACGTCAAGGCAGAAGTACATACAACAACATAAAGAGTAATACAGCATCACCAGAACCTCGCCCTCTCCAACAGCAAGACCTGAACATCACAAGGTAGAAGAAGCAGAAGAAAACAACCTTAAGAATAACATCATGAAGATGCTAGAGGCCTTTCAAGAAAAAATGAAAAATAAAATTGAGGAAAAGATAAACAAAAAAGTGGAAGAAATCAATAAAGAAATTGAGAAAAAGACAAACAAAAATGGGAAGAAATCTATAAAGAAATAGAGAAAAAGACAAATAAAAAAGTGGAAGAAAGCTATAAAACCCTTAAAGAAAACCATGAAAAAGCAATGAAACAGGTGAGGGAAACAGTCCAAGACCTGAAAAGGGAAATAGAAACAATGAAGAAGACACAAACAGAGGGAATGCTGGAAATAGAAAATCTGAGTAAACGAACAGGAAACACAGGCGCAAGCATAACCAACAGAATGCAAGAGATGGAAGAGAGGATCTCTGGTGTAGAGGATACAATACAGGAATTGGATTCGTCAGTCAAAGAAAATACTAAAAACTGAATCTTTTCTTCCCCTCTGTGTTCATGTATTATGCTAGAAGCCGAGAACCCAGGGACAGTGGTATAGCTTGGCTTAACTGGACGTTTCCTACATGCACCCCCGACTCTACAAACACTGGTTCCTTCAGAATACTATGCCCTGAACTCTGCTTGGGCCCTGCTAGTAGATATGGTCACATAGGCGCATGTTAGTACTTCTAATTAGTTAGCACACCCCTCCCAGCAAGGGCTGAGTTTTTTATCCCCCACAGTCCAAATCAAGTGGGCCCAAGCTCCCCTGTATCTCCTTGGTCAGTGAGTGCACTAGCCCTACAGGGAATTCTGTCTAGTGAGGAGAGCCTCTGCGGTGCCCATTCATCTCCCTCTGACTCTCTTACCCTCTCACACACAGGGACACAGAGCAGGGATCTCGGGCCCTCTTCCTTGTTCTCTTATCAGATCTCTGCTTTCTGCAGGGAGGCAGAGATGGCCAGGCCTGAGGCATATGGGCCTAGGACGTGGTGGCCCCAGGGACTACCCCGAGTAATGTAATGAGATTGACTTCACATCATATGTCTAGCATGGTCAGAGTGCACTGGCCTTCCCCTCCCAGGGAGTATCTCACCACCTGTACATGCTTCACTGCAGGCTCTGCTCTGACCAGTCTCCTAAAGCCGGCTCCGTGGCATCTCCCCTATCCAACACTAGTGCCCTAGGTAGCCACCCTATCCTGAGGAGGCATGGTCTCAAAATAGCTCTTCATAGGGCCTTCATGGCTCCCTGCTGTCTTCAGGACAATGTCCAGAACACTAAATTTCTATCCTGGGCCTACTCTGCCTCTCTTCTGACTGCCCAGACCTGTCACCCCCTCCCAGGCAAGCTCTAGAACTACAGGGAGCTTCCTGTCCCTTGGAATGTCAGACTGGCCGTCTTCACTCATCAGTTCATCCCTCAGTAAAATCATTTTCAGTCTCGTTTCTTTTCCTTTATCCCTCCCATATTATGTACCCTTAGCGTGCAGGAAGTGTTAAAGTAGCAGACAGCAGCCTCTGCGAACAGGCAGAGTGTCCAGTGACAGAGACACCCAGACAAAAGGAGAAAAAGGGCAGGCCATATACAGACAAGGGATGGCGAGGGGCAGAGGGGTGGAACAGGCCATTCTGGCTGGTTGCTAGTGGTTCCAGGGGACAGCTCTTGTCGGTTCAACAGTAGAGCCAAAGGGACTCGACAGAGAAGGTTGTGAGCCAGGCAGCAAGTACAAAGGCCCAGAGCAGCACTTTAGTGCAAGGCCTCAGAAGAGTCAGTGTAGCTAATGAGGGAGGGAGGTGGTGCTGCAGAAGTCATGCTCAGAACATGACAGGCTGCCTGGCAACAGCTTTGCGGACGGATTGAGAGAACTCAGGCATTTCAGGAAGTGACTAGTGGTGCCTGGCACAGAATAATTCCTCCATGCGTATACTTGCGAAGATGCCACTCACTGCCCCTCCAAACTTCAAACGGCAAACAGTTATCAAATCCTACTGAAACTTTCCTCACAAGCCCACTTTACAGACAAAGAGCTGAAGCACAGGGAGGTGAAGTAACCTGCCCAGGACACCATACAGGTCAAAGGTGACTGGTTCTAGTTCTACCTGTCACCCCAGCACCACCCATGACTGTATTCCCCATGAACAGTGACTTTCTTCTACAGCAGGGACTTGGTTTGGTACTGGGTGAGAGCACAGCATCCCCAAATGCTCAGACACTTGCCAGGACATGGCTGGGCAGAGGAGTCAAACGTGTCCTTATAAACTTCGATGTTGTAGGACTCACCTACCTATCCAGGCACTCACCCGTTCCTTATCCATACCCAGCCATTCACACATTAACTCACTCACTCACTCGTCATTCAATGAATGCACTGTAGGCAGACTTATTACTTGAGCTTAGCCAAAGATGCTGGAAAGTATCACTCATGTCCTCAGGGAGGAGTCTTCAGACAAAGACAACTGGGAGAGAATCACAAGGCTGGCCTAACTCAAAGGAGGCATCTCTTCTGGACATGGCTCCCAGGGTACTCCACTCCTGGGTGGGGTGACCCCTCTACTTTTCAGGCCACTGATTCCATTCCTCTCTCAGGTGTCTCTGGGATACTGCAGACCCTGTAATCACCCCTTTTTCCATGCTTCCAAAGGGAAGATGGGGCTGGATGACACGACCTCACAAATTCATGTACACTGATGTCATGAATCCAACTGGTGTGCCTGCCTCACCTAGAACCTGAGGCTCTTCCGGACACTGTACCCCAGAGGCCTCCATACAGGCAGGAACCATTTGGAGTACCTGTAGCTCCACAGGAAGATAAGAACAGTCAAGTAGACTGGGGCCAAGTTCATCTGAGCAACAGAGTTCCAGACACTGTATGTATGAGAAGGTCAAAGGGAACTCCACCTCACTGAGTTTGTAGACATGTCAGGGGCCTGCCCAA